GCACAAAACTACACTGATAAATACGAGTTTATTTATTTTGGAATTTTCCCTGTTTAAAAGTGAATCAAACCAAGAAGGTAAAGCTCTGGGGTTTCCCCTCTTCTGTCCTTAGATAACCTATCATCATCATCATCAGCCTGAAACCTTCCTTTCTCTCTTTTCAAGTGGTTACAGTTGTTATACGAGTGATTCATGGTTGTTTCCCCTAAAATTGAATGGGGCATTTATTCTGTAGAATAAAGGCCACACGGATTAACAAAAATTGAGAGTTTCACCATCTGCTGGTACCCCGCAGAGTTTGGAAATGATTGTACAAACCATTTACAGTTTAGTTTGGTTAAAATTCTTGAATTAAGCGAAGTGATTTGAATAAGTGTAGTAACTTCGATTTCTATTTCAGCTAATCTCTGCTTTGCTTCCTGTCTTCACACAAGTGCTCAAGACTCTGTAATCCAAGACCCAAGAATGTGAGAAGTAGTTATAGTTTTGCATTATGCATCAGATCTGGCTCTTTCAATCCCACAGAGGGTCTTTTCCATATACAGATTCAAGTTTCTGCAGCCAGAGGTCAGCAAGCCAAGGTCTCTGTCCTTGTTTGAGTCATGATGCTAGCATGATGCCCACCCAACCAACATTTACTTAGTCCCTATAGGTGCAGGTCACCAGGAATTGAAAAATTTTCCATCCAAGCCTGGCTCCATGAACACATTTTATCTGACCCTCATGAGAGGGTCAGATAAAATGTGACAATAATAACAAAATGTTGCAACAACAACAATAATAACCTCTGTAGATAAATTGCAATTTGTGAGTAATAGTCACAGTATAACATGGCAATTTTTAAACACATTTTTCATCAAAATCTTTCTAGAGAGATTTCCACATCATATTTTTGGTGAGCTATTTATCTACTAGAGCTTTTCGAATCCTGTCTTGTAAAGAGGAAGCTGAGTAGTGGGCCATTCTACAAAAAGCACTGTGTATTCCTCCTTTCTCAGGGAATGTATCAAGTCTTTTTTTAGATAAAGGGAGTTTGGTTCTCGTGGCAGTTTTAGAAAGAGAAAAAAGCATGACAAGCTGACTGATGTACTGCGACATGAGGGGAGTTTTTTTTTCACATCCTTTTGCTAAACAAAATACCAAACTCTGTGTGTAAGTGGGCTGGAGACCACATGAGGGGCAGTTTCTGAGGAAAGAAAAAAAATTTAAATATAATTTCTGTCTTGTTGTTGCGTATACTCCCCTGCTGCTGAAGTTCACCCTCTATGGAAAACCATGTTTAGTCATTTTCACTGAATGACATATAAAATGATACATGGAAACATAAAAATGTGTTATAAAGTATCTTTGCTTATTTGAATGCATCTTGACATCTTTGATTCCTCTTCTCCTTTTCAGTGTTTTAGTTGATTGTGTTAGATTTTATCTTGGTATGTGTCTGTGACGATAGACAACAGTCTCCAAACAGTTTGTGGTTGGGCGTGGTCTTTTATTCCATGGCCAGTTTTGTAAACTAAAATAGCACTGAAAGAGTTTTGTGGAGTTACAGTAAAAGGTTGTACTTTGCCTTCCGGTTAAGGCAGATTTGGAGACATTTGGAGACAGTTCTTGTAATAAAGTTGGATATCATTGCTGCTATAAGACAATAAAACTACATTAAAACAGATGAAATGTTTTGAGTATTCTGGATTTGATGTATGTATTTATTTTAACCTTTGATGCTTTAACATAATTGTAGTCCACATAGTGAACAATAGCTGACAGTGTGTTACTGTTTCTTCCATAACTGTTTCATGTGTACTTCAGCCAGTTTTTTGTCTGCCTTTCAGATATTTCTTACACTAAAAGTTTTTTTTATTGTCTGTAATAATAATTAACAACAGCTAGCATCTCATCAGTTAACATTCGCCATTTTGGAAACATGCCAAGCCAAATTATCTAGCATAATACAGTGTGAGCAGGATGTGACTACACAGTAGCACCAAATGCTGATAGTAAAACTTCTGTGTGTGACTGTGTGCCAGAATAAGTGCTGTATGAATAGTTGAAGGTGGTTTGCAATATGCTTTAAGTGAGTGACCAAATTAGAAAAGGTCTATATAAATGTAGTCCACCACAGACATGAAGTGTCACCAATTTAATCATGTCAGTGTCCTTCAGAATCTATTACTCTGTCCACTGTCTAATATATGTTGAACAAGTCCTTTCTAAAGAGAGCAAATTTGTTTCATATGCTAATGTTGTGGCCATCAGTGTAAGAAGTAAACTTTCTGAATTTGATGTGCCGTGCTGTCGCTATGAGTCTTCCTGTGGACATTGCGAGCACACTCAGTTTTTATTTATGCAAATATATTGGTTTTAGCTGATACAACTCCACTGTTTGCAACCTCTCTGTCTATCTTACTGGTCACACTTCTTTCCTGTTTCCCACTGTTGTTTCATAGCTAATACAAATATATACATATGTTACACCCCGGCCTAGGCAACCGGAGTGCAACACGAAAAAAGTAAAAATAAAGGAAAAAAACACACACACAAAAAACCCCACTAAAGCTCACCACCAAAATCCCGAAACGAAAGTACCGACAAATCTATTTACAACAAACTATTTATTTATAACAAAACACCAAACTATTTACAACACGGGGGAGATCGCGACCATGACATACAGAAACACAGGGCTTAAATACATAGGAGCAATTAGGGAATGGACCACAGGAGGGAAACACAGCTGGGGCAAATTAGACCTGACGAGACAAGGAAACGTAAACTGAACACTAAGATAACACAGACTTTCAAAGTAAAACAGGAAACACATAACAGTCACGCCAAAACAAAACGCCTAAAACAATACACTGCCAACGCCGAACCGTAACAACATATATGATAGCTATAGAAAAATAGAGCTCATCTTATCTTGACCACCACTGGTGACATCATTTAACACCTTAAGATGCTACTCCACCCAAAATATAGTTTGAGCATGAAAGGCTCACTTTCGCGTGAAGATGACTGTTAAAAACTTGCAGCTTAAAGAATAAAGACAGACATTCTCCATGATGACTGTGATACAGTCACAAAGCCTCCCCAATAGGCATGGCTGTTTTACACAACTGTTATTTTGTAAGCTCATGTGAAAGGGATATCATATGTTCTTCTACATTATCTCTGTAGAGAAGGTTTTAAGGTTTGTTCGTTTTGGTGTTGTGACACCCTCTGGGTAGCTGTTTTTAAACTATGGGCCAGAGATAAGCCTGAGGCCCAGGAGCTACACCTTAACCTTTGTGGTGTTCGAGATCTGGGATTTCCACCACCAGCTATCGTCGGTTACCTCTATGAAACCAAAGACTACTTCAAAATAAAGTGCTATTTTCTTTTTCTCTTCTGAAGATGGTTTAAAGTGATTGTGAAGTTGAAATATCATTATATGTTAGTCAGCATCTAATGTAAATAAATCACTTGTTATTGCTTTTACAATTGGCTGAAATATACCACCTTTAAACTTATGTTGAGCACTCAAAGTATTTTCCACACAGTCCCATATACCATCATACAGCTTTTTTTTCTGGCTGTTTCTGACATTTACACAATCAGTCACACTCTAGTGGGGGCAATGAGGACAACATGGGGATTCAAGATCTTGCCTATGTAGATTAGGGATTGATCACGCAACCTTCCCAGTGGTAGACAACCCGCTACCACAGCCTCCCACGCTGTTGCAGCAAATGTAGAACGGTGTTCCTCTTTCCAGGGCATGGTTTGTCAGTGACGATGAAAAGACATTCAGATGCAGCGTGTTCCCATTTTTCAGTTTTTCAAGATCAATTTATGACATTCAATTCAGAATAGTAATGAACTCTGGTTATCTGACTAGAGTGCTGACTAAATCTTCAACACTTACTCTGCTAATAGACATGAAACACCTACACTCATCCTTACTCATTACAGTTACCATATGATCTTTTCATACAAACAAGCCATGGAAAGGATTATTAATGATACAGTTTCAGATGGTTTGTAATCATGTATTACATATATTCTACCTTTTATATAACCTCTTATCATTAATCAGTCCATCATTTCCATTAATCATTGATCTATCCAAGCTGTTAGAGAGCAAGAAGGTGGTGTCCACCCTGAAGGGCTTGTCATGCCATCTCAGGGCACACAGAGATACAGACAGACAAGCGTTTGCACTCAGAACATACTTCATAGAGTGCCTTTTAGTAATTAGAACAACATCTTATTTGTATATCACATTTAAAACATGCATCCCAAAAGGTTGATTCTGTTGTAGCGTTTTCAGTGGGAGAAACGTTTCGTCACTCAGTGTTTCGTGAGTGACGAAACGTTTCAAAAAACCTTTATAAAATTATTAGGGAAGTGACACATGTACTATAAATGTAGGTTGACAATGACATCACTGGCAGTTAATTGTTGGTGGAATATCAAACACAATAACGTGAAAAACATTTGGCAATAGTGGTCAAACTGACTGACGAATAGCTGAAGGTTGCAGACTTTTCTGTGACTTATTGCCCCACATTTGAACTGGCTTTCAGTGTGTCTGCCCCACATAGAAACGAAGACAACACAACAACATATGTGAACACTTCACATCAATAGCTAACATGTGCTTTTTAAAAATTTAGAATAGTAGAATAGAGTGATCTGTGGTCTTGCCTGTGTACGCAGGTATACAGCAGGTGAGTGTATGTGCCTGTTTGAAATGATCTATTGAGTTGTGTGGGTGTGCACTGAGGTGCAAAAGGGGATTCCACACAGGTGTCTGGTTTTTTATTTGATGTTGGTATAACTCCATCATACACATGCCATGTGCAGAGGAGGTGTGGTGCGTAAGATCCTCCCAGGCACTGGGTCTCTATTTCTCATTGAGTCTCCACATGTGTGACATCATTGGAGTTTCCCCCTCTATCGGTGAGAGCCTTTTAAAACAGCCTCTCACAGATAGCGGCATCAAACAAGAAGAAGAGGTGGAAGAAGAGGAGGAAAGGCTGCTAAGAAGTGAACTGTACCTGATAGAAGGCACCCACTAAAAACAATGGAAGGTGAATGCATGGTCGCGCTGGATACAATGATCGACAAAGACACAGAGAAACAGGCAACACAGGAAATCAAGCCCAGGTCAAAGCTAACCATGGCCCTCCTGGCATTCACACTTTGCCTCGCTGCTACTGCTGCTGCTGCCCTCGTTGTTAACAGGCGTGCTGAGGTGGGTTTTAAAATTCTCTCTAAACTACTCAAGAGCGCCATTGACTCTCACAGTGAATGAACTGTTTCACCTAAAACCAACCAGTCTGTAACAGCGTTCTGTGTCATGCTCTATTTCAAACAGGCTCCTGGACAAAATGAGGACAATTTTGGTGAGTACCCTCAACTCTTACAAAAGTAGTGGACTTATTGATGTTTGTTTGTTTTTTGTTTGTTTTTTTAGCTTAGTAATGTTAGTGACTAGTAGGCGAAAACACTGTATAATTCATATTCTCTGTCTTTTCTTGTTCCCAGATCTCCATCACACTTTGAGGCAAATATCAAATGTGAGAGCAGCCATTCATTTGCAAGGTAAGGGATGAAACCCAAGTAAAAAAAAGTGCAAGGCATATTTTAGACTGATTGTGGAGAACCATACTACACCTTTCCCAGTATTGTAATCATGAAATCACACGTCTCTGTGAGATTCATGGGACATTTAGTGGATCATAATTGGAGGAAGTTCTTGATTCAGGAAGCTTACCAGTTTTTCCAGAAAGTTTTAGAACTTCTCCTTGATTTTTAAGGGCACATTATGCCTGTTTCCTTTGGATATTTTGGAGATTTAAATGAGTTCTAGTTAGACTGAAGAATGTAGAGGATAAATGAGAAATAGGCTCATGTCACTGCAACAGAATTCATTTGAAATTTCTCTTCAGGAACCCCTGACTCAAGTGCAGTTTTATTTCACTGTTAATCAGAAATTCACCATGGTGTCTGCCATTTGTCTGTACTATTCAACAGGAGTACACAACTATAGTAGAAAGACCTCAGTGGAATGGCAGAAGGATGTGGACCAGTCCCACTCTCAGGGAGGACTAGAGCTCGATAAAAATGAAATTGTGATTCCTCGAGATGGCCTCTACTTTGTTTACAGCCAAGCATCTTTCCGGGTTGACTGCAGCAGCGATGCCGACGATACCTCCTCACACCCCATGGTCCACCTGAGCCACACTGTCAAACGCTGGTCTCGCTCATATGCACCTAAATATGTGACCATTCTCCACTCTATCCGTACAGTCTGCCAAAAGACAACCAGTGGGGATTCAGATGAGGATGGGAACTGGTACACTGCAGTATACATGGGGGCTGTGTTCAACTTGTATGCTCATGACAGACTGAGAACACAGACAGAGGAGGCAATGCTGGAGAAATTGGAGGATGAGCCAGGGAAGAACTTCTTTGGTGTTTTTGCCTTGTGAGGAGAGGTGTCTGATGAATGTAGGTGAAAAGGTGACCTCAGACTCCATTTCTCCACCATGACCTGCTGTCCTTCTGGAAGGCTTTTAACTATTGAATGTGAGGAAACCACAGATGGTTCACATTGCACTAAAGAGGTGATGGAAAATGTACTTTAACCATCAGCCATACTTGAAATATTTGTATCAGCAAGTCATTTCATTTTTGTAAGTAAATCAAACTATTGTAACTACAGCAGTCAACCAAAGAGTGCTACCATGTCACTACAGGCTGACAGAATAGAAAAACAAAGGGTTTACTTTTTGGGGAATTTATTTATTTAACATATCTTTGTCGTATTTATTTTATTTGTTGTATTTATTTATTTATTTATTGAAATATTGAAATACTTATATATTTATTAATTTTATTGTGTGTTTTATAATGAATGTCCTACTGTATTTGTGCTGATTTTTATGTATGAAACTATTTGTTTCGTTTTATGGCAAGTACAAACAAATGTCTGAGAATTTATAGTGCCTGTGGTACTCTGAAATATTTGAATAAAACTCAGCTTATAAAGAAATCATGTTTGCAAGAGCTGTGTTTATCATTTTACAAACCAGTGAAAAAAAGAAAAAATATCAAACATGCTACAGGGTCAAACTAAACAGAGCAAACAAATGAGCCACAACGGCTAAAGAAAGCTCAAATTATTGCTAGTGTGTGCGATGGGACAATTAATTAACACACGGTAGTAACCACAGAGCACAGTGTGTCCTCTTTTTGTGTGCAGCGAAACAGTCATGGAAGTGGAGGAGTTTAACTGTTACTTCATCGAGATGAACCCAAATTTATCATGCTTGCTAAATACTGAGATATTTGTCTCTATGACACCATTATTGAAATGTTTATGTTACCTTTCAACTGCATGCACACTAAAAGAATACTTTATAATACTTGCAAATGAAGTAAAATTAAATGTGCAACTTATTTTCATGTAATCACCCTCCCAGTGTCCTGCCTCCAGTCAGTGAAATGGAAATGGGGGAAATACAGTTAGGTCCATAAATATTTCACAGAGACACCTTTTCCCCCTCATTTTGGTTCTGTACATTACTACAATCAATTTTAAATGAAAGAACAACAACTCAGATGCGGTTGAAGTTCATACAGCTTTAGCTTAGTGGGCTGAACAAAAAGGTTGCACACAGTGATCGAGAAACCTCTAGCAAATAACATCCTATATATTTAAAGTGGTGGCAGCACGGTGGCACGGTGGTTAGCACTGTTGCCGCACAGCAAGAAGGTCCTGAGTTCAATTCCACCATCAGGCTGGGGTCTTTCTGTGTGGAGTTTGCATGTTCTCCCCGTGTCTGCGTGGGTTCCCTCCGGGTACTCCGGCTTCCTCCCACTGTCCAAAGACATGCAACTTGTGGGGATAGGTTAATTGGATAATCCAAATTGTCACTAGGTCTGAATGTTCGAATGAATGTGAGTGCAAATGGTTGTCTGTCCCTGTGTGTTGGCCCTGCGACAGACTGGCGACTTGTCCAGGGTGTACCCCGCCTCTCGCCCTATGACAGCTGGGATAGGCTCCAGCACCCCCCACGACCCTGAAGAGGATAAGCGGAAGCGAATGGATGGATGGATATTTAAAGTGAATTTAATTTCATTTGTGCTTTTAAAAAGGAGACCCACGTTTCACTCTAAATTGTCACTGTCTGCAGGATTTGATACCATTACAAAGTGGCAGACCACGTAACGTTACAGAACTGCGTTGCTGACACAATAAATGCAGTTTCAAATCCCTCGTGTACGGAACCTGGTTTAAAGCCTGATTCCAGGATGGGGTTTCTGCTAATGTTTCAGACATTGCTGTTAATGTCTAAAAGCTGATATTAGAAAGCTTACATGTTACTTATGGTAATGTAACCTCTCAGAAAAACTTGATATGGTTTGTTTTTTTGATTCAACTCAATCAAAACAAACAATCAAAAAAAGCCATTCTAGAATTAAATAGCATTTTAATGCCAACACTTTTGAAAAATTTAGTCAATGCATTTTAATTAGACAATATGTTAAACCCCTTCTGAGTTAGATTACTTTAATTAAAAATACATGGTAACATGTATTTAAGTGCAGGGCTGCATGGTTACATGACTGATGTGACTTATGTGACTTTTGACTGTGTTCGTATGAGCTCATCACTGCTGACAGTGGGTAATATTAGCCTGGTTATTACGTAAGATACTATGACTTAGCTCTGTGTTCATATTCATTAACAGTGCAAGTTTTTGTATTTGGCACTGTGAAAGTTTCCAGTAGAGTAATAATTCCTCAACACTTTAACAGAATGGAAGAGAGAAGGGGAACTCCCTGCTTATGTGGTAATTCCCCTGCTTCCTCCTCCAGCTGCCTACAGAGCTGTACCAAATATCACCAGTGGAAAGTATTTATCTCACAGTAAATAGCTTTTTTTATACTGTCTTTTTTGTTTATTGACCACACTTCAAGAGGTCCCTAAAAACCCTACACGGATAATGGCAGAAGAGATGCATTTTTAAGTCCGACTGTATATCTTTGTAAATTTTTTATTTTTATTTTTTTTATGTTAAATAGATTTGCAAGAATTTTATGTAAATTTGATTCATTTTTTCATTATGAGTTATTGTGTGAAAAAACAAAAATCGGTGGCACGGTGGTTAGCACTGTTGCCGCACAGCAAGAGGTTCTGAGTTCAATTCCACCATCATCCTTTCTGTGTGGAGTTTGCGTGGGTCCCACCTGGGTACTCTGGCTTTCTCCCACAGTCCAAAGACATTAGTGATGTGTTGGTCGCGAATGGAACGACTCTTAGAGCTGACTCTTTGAAGTGAACGACGAGAGCCGGCTCCTTATTAGGAACCGTGGGTTTTTTTCTTTTTCCTTCTCTCTTCTTCTCTCTCACCCTTTTTTCCTGCTTCACTCCGGTACGCGAGCCTTGTGCTTTGTGCTGGGCAGAGGGGGGAGGGGCGGTAGTTACACTCGCAGTAGCACAGGAACAGAGCGGGAGGGAGAGAGAGAGAGAAAGAGAGCCAGGGACAACAACGTCACATTAGAAAGGTGATGATAAACGATTCAGAAAGTTTATTCATGCAGGCCCATATGACAGAGAATGTGCATCTGCTTTTTGTTTTCATATTTTAATTTATATTTAATTGTGTTGTGGTTTGCAGTGTTTTGTGTTGTTTCACTTTAAATGTGTTTCAAAGGAAAAACCTGAAAATTTAAATAGTTAAAAGTTGAAATGTAAATAGTTGGTTTTTGTATTATATGATTTATTTATTACATTTTATGTGGAGTGAATAAATAAAAGTATATTTATGGTGGCCCCTACAAACAAAACACGTACGAAACACAACAGAAGTGCTCCAGGATGCTAGGGGGCAGTGTTGAGCTTTTGTTACCTAGTGGCTACACAAGCCAGGAAGTACCAACGACCGGATTTGGTGTGAGGTAGTAACAGGTAAATGAACATTTTTAAAAAAATTATTTGAATAATTATGAGTGCTTGTGTATAAATACACAAACAATACACATATGCTTTCAATTGTGCAATTTAAGTGATCTAGGTAGCTCTGTTTTGGAAGTTCAGTTCATGCTAGAAATGTGTTTTGGAGTTTGTACGTGCTTTGTTTCTAGGGGCCACCGTATGTATTTATATATAAACATATATAAATAAAACCACATTTTTTTTACATTAGTAATTCCTTTTGTGCATAATTTTATATTGTTGTTAATAACAAATTAATTAAAGCAAGAAAACAACCTGAAGAGCCGGTTGGGAGCCGAAAGAGCCGGCTCTCTAAAAAGAGCTGGAAATCCCATCACTAAAAGACATGCAGTTAGTGGGGATAGAATCAGAAAGACTTTATTTATCTCCAAGGGCCAATTAACATACGACAGAGCAGCATAACGTTGAAGATAAGGACAATAAGAACAGGCAATAAGAGTCAGATAATAAATACACAGAATATACACAGCTTTAAAATTACACAGTTTTAAAATTAAAGTGACTAAAAGGTGAATAAATAACTGTAAGTGACTAAAAGTGAATAAAGTGTTGGTAGTATAAAAAGAATGTAGAGTAGTTGATGTTTCTGGTGTGGGAAAGCAGAGTGGCTTTGGGGACAAAGGTGGCTCTCCTCGCTCAGTCCTGCAGGAAATGCAGCGGAGGCGTCGCCCAGAGGGGAGCCATTGAAATGCGGGGTGAAGAATGTGAGAGGGGTCGTTGATGATTTTGGCTGCCTGTCTAAGGGCCTGTGGGCTGAAAACCTGTGCCAGAGTTCTGACAGGCAGGCCAATGATTTTAGAGCACACTGATGCCATGTGTTGCAGGCTGTTCCTGTTCTGAAGGCTGAGGGAGTGGAACCAGCAAGTGATGGAGAAGGTCATGATGCTTTCCAGGAAGGCATAGTAAAAAGCCATCATGATGGGTGTGCTGACTCCAAAGCAGTTGAGTTTCCTATAGTGATGTGCGATACCACTGATTTCCTTTCCGATCCGATACCAAGTAAAATTCAGGGTGGTATCGGCGATACTGATCCGATACCGATACTCTGTACAAAAACTTAATGTTTCATTGCATTTCATAATACAATATATAATTGTATTATGTAATTGTAATAATAACATAACCATATTGCTTCATAATGATTAGAGGACATCAGACAACTTGTTTTTATTGCTTAATAATGCAGAATAATCATATAGAAATAAAAAAAACCTGACGTTGTGCGCTATTTGAGCATGTTTCCTGCCTGCAGCACTAAAGGACTGTGCGAGAGACATCTGTCTCGCCCTAGCAGCACCTGTCCCTGTCCTCCTCTTCAGTTCGCCTCAACATAAGCTTATCATATTCTGTGATGTGATTTCCTCCGAGGTGTTTGACGAGGTCAGTGGTGTTGCCACAACAACGTGTCCACACAGGACTCTGTTTGCGCTCAGCCATTGTTGTGAGTGTGCACGCCAGGGGCTGCGACACATTTATACAGCCGTATTCCGCATATGACTATGAAAGGCGTAAGAGGAAGTAGTTCCTTCCAAATTAGACGATCCAAATTGTATAGTTTCTTTCCACTGCATTCATTTTAATGGAAAAACTACAAATTTACCCCAGAGTACTAAAATATCGATATTATAATATGAGAATCGATTCTAGAACATAAATTGCTGGTATCGGAAGAATCAATATTTCAGTATCGATCCGCACACCACTAGTTTCCTAAGGAGGTATAGCCGTTGGTGGCACCTCCTGAGAATCTCCTCTGTGTTGGCAGAGAATTTCAGGAGGTTGTCAAAGATGGTTCCCAGGTATTTGTACTCCTCAAAGATAGGTTAATTGATCATTCTAAATTGCCCATAGGTGTATGAATGTAGGTTGTCTATCTCTGTGTGCTAGCACTGCGACAGACTGATGACCTGTCCAGGGTGTACCCCGCCTCTTACCCCCCCCCCCCTCCCCGCGACCCTGAAAAGGATAAGTACAATGAACAAAACATTTTGAGAAAAACAGTTTGTTTTATTTTCATTCTTGCAAATGAAATAATCTGCCATATTAAATGTAACAGCATATAGAAATATAGTTTGAATACTGTACCACATGAAAGACATGTTAAATATGCCAAATAATCAATTGTAATTATTTACATAACCAATATTTACACTCTGTGTGCATATTTTCATATGTATGAACAGCACATCTCCACTGCTTTACAGACTCTACAGTTAATTCACATCAACACACACAAACATACATTACATTAGATATTTACACAGGATCACCGGAAACAAATTTAGCCGAAGCACTGAACAATGTTTGCGTGGTTCACACATCAGTACCTCCTAATTAACTTGTTAGTCTACTTGGGGCAAGGTGCTTGGGACAATTTAGATTACCCGTGCTAACGAAACAAGCTGTGCTACCACAGAAAGAAAAATGAGTCTTGAGATCACACTGAATATTTGTCACGTGTAGAATATTCCCATATATTGGATTCAAAGAAACCGACATGACAACACAATGGAACGCTGGATCCTCAGTGAAATAAAAAGCTGTCACAAGAAGAGGCAGAAGTGAAACTCTTTGCTGAGAGGAAGACAATCAGTTGTGGTTGAAAGCGCTAAGAACAGCTTGTGAGAGGGGAGAATTTCCTTTTGTCTTTCCTTTCGTTTTTGGTCAAATGTCACGATTTTTGGAAATCAAACAAAATAACACAAAGAGGGGATGAAACGCTGCAGTTAGCTAACCTCTCACATCAAGCCATGTAGATGGTGTTCAGGTTAGGACTTAGCATTAGCGTTAGGATTATTTTAATTATTTCTTCAAAAAATTAATCAAAAAACTCCATGGCAACCTTACCATTATAAAGACACTAAATCTGTGATATAAATTATGGGTCTGTGCTCAGAAATAAAAACAGTGTGAGGCTATCAAAGAGTCATGAGTGGGTAATTTGAGCCTCTAATATGATTGAAGCTTACTCTGTTCTTTGTAAGAGTTTCAGAGGACACTACGTGTGGCCCAAGCAGTGTGCAGCCATGTAAACAGCCATACTGTTTCTATGTTTGTTAACATTTTTTCCTCCAATGCCCCTGCAGCCTGTGGCAGCTGCTTGAACTGTAAAAAAGTGGTGGCCCTGTCAGGGTCCTGGATGTGAGCGACCCAGGGTCCTTGAGCAGTTATGGACTTGTATTATATTATATGTGTTTTTGCTGCTCTGCACTGCTGTTTTTGTTGTCCAGGTGTGCGTGTTTGTGTGGGTGCGGCTGTGACAGGCACCTTCAGGCGTGGTGGGTGTGGCCCTGCCAGGTGGTTGGCCACACCTGAAGACCATCACACACCTGCAGCTGATTAAGCCTCGTCGGAGAAACTACTTAAGAGTGTGATGGAGCTCTCTCCAACGCTGGATCATTGTGTGACTTCACGTTAGGCTCTTGTCAAGTTAGTAAGGTTAGTCTGCTGCATTGTGGTGTTTCTGACGGCTGCCTCTTTGTTATTCCCTAAGAGAATGTGGAGACGAGAGGGCAGCGAGCACGGGGTGCTCAGACACTGAGGGGCGGAGACAAAGAACACTATCACTGGGAAGAGGACATGTCACGGGAGTCGGGAACGCACTGCGGATTTGTTGTTTTCCCTGCACTGTAAATAAACGCACTGTTGCATCAAAGAGTCCAGCATTTGGGTCCTCCTTTCCCCACATCCCCACGGTTGGGCAGCGTTAACCGTGACATGTCCAGGACTGTATCTTAAGTTTGAGGTGCGCTTCCACGTGTACGGGAGAAATGACCTCATGAAAACTGCTGGATTAACTACATCTGATCTTTACTGTGAGCAGACCATACCACAAAGACCAAAGATATGTCAAAATATGGTTTGATATGATAAGAATCAGGACAGTAGCCTGATGGCATTATCCCAATGCCAAACCGAATGAGAAAAAGGAAACTGGTTAGCATTATTTATTTCCATTTATTTGCATTGAACACCTTTCTCAGCATCAAGATTTCAGTTTAGCGTGAAACATGAATTCACATTTAATTTATTTTAATTGTTTTCATGTTATTTTTCTTTTGAGAAACAGGAGGAGAATGTTGTCAAAGTTGTGGTCAGTTTTTGTATTGTTTGTGGGTATGGAAACCTTTCTGACTGAATTAATAATGCCTGACCTGCTTTATATTACAAGAGTGCCCTTTGACCAGTGCTGAAGACATAGATGGTCTCGTTTCACTAAAGTCGGTAAGACCCAGTTAAACCATTTATGTAGACATAAAGCTCTGAACCCAGCGAACTTATCTCTGTTAGGCGTACAGAAATGAAGCATGATTTCAGTTTCTCCTATGAAACCCCCCCCCCTCCACAAAATAGAAGCAGAAGAGAGAACACAACAAAAAACGGAAATACAGCAGCAGCCCATACAGGGGAAATCTGACACCCTGGTGGTTTTCTTGTTCTGAATAAGTTTGTTTATAGCTGTGGAGGAAGTGTGTGTGAACTGTTGGTGAAACTTGAGTTCTAAGAGGAAATGATATGATCAACCTCTTTTGAGGGGGATTCAGTAGAGACTAAAGTAAAATACCATCATGCATCTTTTAGCTCAGAAACAAACCCTGTTTCATATTAATGTTGATGATACCCACATCTAGATCTCTTTCTGACTGGTGTGCCTTTGTAAATAAAGTCCAAATGAAGGTGCAGCCCTATTTAAATGGAACAAACTGTTTATTGTATATCATTACCTTAAAAATAATGTCAGTGACTAATACAAGTTATATAAAATGAATGATTTCTCCTGGTTTGTTGACCGGAGAAGCAAAACTGCTATTATTTAAATTTAAATTTATACCTACATACCATTAGGAATTTAAGTTTTGGCATTCTAAATGATTAATTTTTAACAACTCAGAAGTCTGTATCCAAGTAATTAAAAAATAAATAAAATAAAATCTTGTGTTAATGTATAAACCCTCCTGTGAGGAGGCTCCCAGGGTCTGTACACTCTTCACATTCTACATCAGGGCACCTCCACTCCTTCCACTCCAGTCAGCTTCACTACTAAACAAATCAGGAACCAGCTGATGAGACTCCAGAGGTCATAGCCGATGTCACAACGAGACCCATGGTGCTCATTGTGAACATCACACATCATTTTTCACTATCTATGGCCCACGATTAGCCCACTGATAGTCCTCTCCATTTTACCTGGTTAGTGAGCACGGTGAGATAAATGAGAGCCAGATGCTTCTCCTTCAGCACCTTCAGACAAGCCCTACTGTTTTTTAAACTGACAGCGATGTAGGTAGTTATGCGTCCTTAGTCATCTGGATTGCCAACTATCTGACTGTCAGACCACACTATGTGTGCCTGCAGTTTTGTGTGGTGGACAGTATGGTCAGCAACACAGATGCCCTGCAGGGGACCGTCCTGTCTCCTTTCTCTTCACTGTGTATAGACTTCAGAAACCTGCCACCTCCATTAGTTTTATGATGATTCTGCAGTAGTGGGATGTATCAGAGAGGGTGACGAGGATAAATATATTCTGATTCTGAGCAAAGCCTAATCTTGACATAATGATTCCTGGTGTTTATGTGGGGATTTTGCACTCTGAGAGACATATGGATGCTAGCCATGGGGGGATTCCCATGATGCACCTTTTTAATCACCTTTCTGCATTGAATCACACTTGTTATTTATCTCTGTCTCTCTTCCACAGCATGTCTTTATCTGGTCTTCCTTCTCTCACCCCAACCGGTCGCAGCAGGCCGCCCCTCCCTGAGCCTGGTTCTGCTGAAGGTTTGTTCCTGTTAAAAGGGAGTTTTTCCTTCCCACTGTCGCCAAAGTGCTTGCTGGGTTTTTTCTCTGTATGTATTATTGTAGGGTCTACCTTACAATATAAAGCGCCTTGAGGTGACTGTTGTTGTGATTTGGCGCTGTATAAATAAAATTGAATTGAACTGAATTGAATGGCCTGCAGTGAACTCTGCTTTGAGCTTTAAAAACAAGGTGACAGGAACTGTTCATTGGAGTTGTCTGAAATACACTGCTGGCCATATAGTCAACAGGCTTACCATTTTTAATTGAAAGCTAGTCTGGTATTACATGTAGCTACTGCGTTTATTATAATTAACCATTCTGTAGTTGACATATTACCTTCAAGCTTGCAGTTTGAATTCAACACCAATTGTCATTTCTCCAAACAGAAAAAGGCAAAACTGGTAGAAAATGTTCACAACAGAACCAGATAAATGTTATGATGTTTTTTCAATTCATATGTTTAGCTGACACCCATCCTGTCCTAAGATGGGTGTCCGTGTACTACATGCTGCTGTAAACTTGCCAGTGGAACAGTAAAACACAACAAATCATGACATTAGCACCCCCAAGTGTATAGGACAGTGTAATTACATCCTAAAAGAAATATATGCTCGTGACATAAATAAGCAGCAACAATATTAAGCAACTAGAAAAAAGGTCTAAAAACTGATTTAAAAATTGGTCATGTTGTATTTTACAGCCTTAAACATAAGATCTGCAAATGTAATTCCTACAGCAAATTTAGTTTAAATAAAACATTTTAAGGTCTTATTTTGTTTGACTCTAATTTTAAACTCTTGAAGACATGTTAAACGTCTTCAAGTGACAGTGAGGGGTTTAGCATGAACACACCCAACTATGGATTCTCTCTAAACAGCGACCAGGAACACTGTTTAAACCACCACCAAACATTTAACCAGAAGAGCTACAGTGACAAAGCGAATTAAATAATGAACATAACCACTAACAAAATTTGCAACATTTATTTAAAAAGAAAATCATATTTTTTAGTCAGTCTCTTAAATCACTATTTAACCACATTAGAAGACCATATTATGAGTTCTAAATGATTGCTAGGCTGTTGTTGCGGCATTTGATTATTTTTTAAACTGTGATTTAAAAGTGTCTTAAATGTGCCCTGTATGAACTGAGACCCTCTAGCCTGCATTTTCCTTAAAATATTTAAATAAAATAGTAATTTTATGAATAATAATAATGATGTACTGTAAGTTTTGTGCACGTTTTATGTGTTAGGAGCTGGGACGGGTGTGTTCTATTGTGTTTTGTTTCCCTGATGCACCCTTTGAGCATCAGGCGTCATCAGCCGGACTATTTAAGAAGCAGCTCTCAGGTGTCAGATTATTGTCTTAGCCTCAAGCAGTAACGGATCACCCGTCTTTTATGTACTACTTTGATAACCAAGGTATTCACAGATTTCCTTCTCCTCTGCTTCCTGTCAAATGACGACACTCTTTGCCCAGCCAACCACCTGTCCACTTCACCGTGCTACCTCAGTTCATCTCTTCTGGACCCCGTCACTCCACTCGCCTACACTGTTGCTGGTCCCCGCCTCAACCTCCTGTTTTATGTACCTCCCCAAGTCCGTACTAACCGTGTGGCGACTAAGCTCTCGAATTCCTTGTGAACATTTCCGTATCTCCTCAGCTCTGTTGCTATCGGTCACTAACTTCCTTTTCTCCTCTTCCCCCTCTGGATAGTTTGAGTTTTCCATTCAATCTCATGTAAGTGTTATGTTTGATATTCGTCCTCACTGTAAATAAACCTGTTTAACTGCAACCGTGTCTGTCTGAGTGATCTGCCACCTGGGTCCACCTGACACTATGTCTATTACATACACCAGTGGGGGATGCTGACTATCATGCCTAGGTCAGCAGCTTTATCATGAATCTGTGAACATCATCATAATAGGCATGCTGATAACTGTGTGCATATCAAAGCGCCTTTTATATGTTTCTAGTTTTTTAAATGATTCAGCTAAAGAAACTCTCATTGGTCTAACTTCAGTGTTCAGTGTCAGTGGCAGCTGTTGTTCTTATGGTCATCGCAGACAGAATGCTCTTCTTCTTGTTTCATAAATGATTACTTTGAATTTTGATAGTAAGCCTGTCAGTGCTGAAAATACCGTTGTATGCAATGTTCAACTTGATTTGTACTTCTGCATTAAATCTAGTACACAGAAATTTAGTTACACATTGTAGCAATGCACACCACAACCATAAAAGTCTGTAAACACAGTCTTTTGGTTTGCTCAAAGATGTTATCACTGGGGAACAAATGTAGAATGTAAGTATGTATGTAGGCTATAATTATGTCTATCTTGCTTATAACACAAATAGCCTAGTCTTCTGGGAATTTTGTTGTTCTACAACTCTACCACTCTCTATATAAACCCAACCAGTTTGAAAGTGTAATAACAATGATGGATGCAGCCACTCACCAGCATGTTATTAAAAGTGGGGCTTATTAGCCATCTCTTGCCTGGTTAGCAAACTGCAACCACTAACTATATTGGTGCACTGGGCAGATACTGTGGATACCTGCTAATTAGTACTAAACAACATACTAATGAAATAATAAAATTTCACTCATCAAAACTGGAAGACAGATTTCTTGGACAGACCTCTGCTCCTCTTTCACCAAACAGTGAGCACCAGGACAGGTTTAAAACTATAATTTATTTGATTCAATCCTAAGGCGCCCTGTCTAAACTAACCTCGCTAGTTTTGTAGGCTACCATTTAAATCTAATAGAGAACAGACCAGTTACAAATTTGGGAGGAAATTTATCCAGAACAATAAATCAAAAACAAATCCAGCAGAGATCAGCTTAGAAAATACTGGACTGGTACACATATAGCATTTTTCTACTGTATTTGAACACTCAAAGTGCTTCCTTACTACAACCCTTATTCACCCATTTGCACACATTCATTTACCGTAAGCACTTTTTTCTATGACTAAGTGCTGTTTACCTCATACTGTGATGGATGCCTTTGGGGCAACTCAGGATCTTGGTCAAGGATTCTTTGATGTCTGGAGGAGCCAAGCACAGAAGTACCAATCTTCCAACGGGTGGATGACCCAGTCTACATCTTGAGCTACAGCCGCTCTACTGTTTTCAAGTTGTAGTAGTAGTGGTAAACTGACCTCAAAGCCAGGGGACATTTAAAGACGCTGCTCATGCCTCAATCAAATTAATCAAAAGTACATGTGCTATCACAGGGTGTATATCTGTGTATGTGCCTTCTCAGTGTTTTTATTGAGCTGTTGCTTGACTGGAACATATTTTGCTGCACTCATTTCTGTCTGAGGGAAAATCCTTTACCTTTTTTTTAATCTTCATTTTAAACCTTAGATATTTATTTATTTTTCAAACTTGTATTACTATCCTCATCCTGCCACTGTTAACCACCATCTTACTTGTAGAGTAGCTGAAGCCGGCTAGTGTGACACTTATTTCGACTGATCTTGCTGTCTGACTGGTAGAGACTGGACGAGTTGGCGAAGGACTGTGGAACAGGATGAGGGTCAGAGGCAGGCGCTGGGTATCCTGGAGGAGGGGCCAACGACCTGGGGTCACTCTGGGTGATGGAAAAGGGAGGGGGGCTGTGGTTCTGATTAGTGATGGTGGACGCTCTTCTCCTTGATCGCAGGGCCTGTCTCTCAGACAGCTGGTTTCTCAGCTCTGACACACGTTCTTCTTTCTAAGGGAAAAGTAAAGTAAACACTCAAAAATTAAGTTATTACAGATCCAAAAAGACTTTTACATGATAAGCATCTGTTTTAACTGACTTAGTTAACAGGAGAACCTGCTTTCTTGTTTAGGTACTTCTTGGGAGAAAAAGTATTTGAGTCATTAACCTGTTAAATACAGAGGAAGAGCTTAAATGAAACAAACACTTGGATAAGAAAAGGGCCTGCCTGACCTCCTGGATGATCTTCTGCAGTTCCTTGTTCTCTCTCTCTAGTTGTCTGGACTTCTCCTCGTCATTGTTATTGGTGGATGAACCTGTCTTCATGGTCTCCTGGGCATCTGACTGCCACTCACCACGTGTTATCAGGCGCCGCATCTACAAATTGTGCAAATGTTTTTAATGTGATACATGAAAACTCCATAGTGCATCTATTACAACAGCAGGGCTTTGTAGTACTGTAGAAGAGTCCATCTGCTGATAGGTACTTCTTTTGCAGAACTTTTACCAACTCAAAACATTTTGCACATTATGAAACAAAGGATTTAACAAAGATCACCCAGGACTACAGAGCATCTAGAATCCTTTATCAGAGAGGAATGGGACCTCATTCTTACTAATTAAAATATGTTTTTTGATTTACTTGGCAAGTATGGACGTGATATTTGTGTACTTAGTTAATATCATCCTCCCTAAACTAACAGCACTCCAGGAATATGAACAGAGACACAGCACCATGCTGATTGGCCAGAGTAGACTGTTAAAGATCTGAATTGGTGATGCTGACACGGCAACACTCACCCAATTAGCAGACCCTCAGGTGATATATCATGCAATCTCAGATGCCGTCCATGCTAGAGATGGACCGATCCGATATTACGTATCGGTATCGGTCCGATACTGACCTAAATTACTGGATCGGATATCGGAGAAAAATAAAAAATGTAATCCGATCCATTAAATATCACGAAAGCACCTCGCAAAACTTGCAACACGCCGTAACTCACCTCAGAACGTTAGCACGTCGGAGCAGTATGCATCACGTGATAGAGCGGCTGTGGCATGCGGGACCTGTCGGTGGTCTGGATAGCATGTGGAGCTTCGCTAGCAACCTGGCATTTCATCTCCGACAAAGTTATCCCCGAGAGAAGTAAAGCAAGTGTGTAAGTCCATCTCTGAATGTTTGTAAAGCATTCCCACGTTAAGCTTAACAAGCGACTGCCTCTCGCTCTCCGGCTGCTACTTCAATCATGAAACTGCTTAAATGATCAGCTGATCGGCTTTTCTGTCGCGAGTCCGTGTCTCTTGTTTGTTTTTGGCCCACTTTGCACCAGAAAGAGGAAACCAGCGGCTGAACAACAGCAGCACGTTTAAGCTTGATAAGCTGTTGTTAGAATTTATTTAATATTTCTTTCTACACCAGGATCTTTTTCTACGTAGCTGACGCTGGTAACTGTGCAGGGGCGGATCTAGCAAAGTTTAGCCAGGGGGGCCGATAGGGCATTAACAGGGAAAAGGGGGCACAAAGACATACTTTTCTTTCTTATTCTCATTTAAAATGTCGAGCTTTTAATAAATAATTATCTGACACCCAAAGTTTTAATTTGATGTAAAATGAATAGAAGTCAATTACTGTATATAGTGACTATTAAGTCTAATATATACCCTAGTAAGCTATAGTACTTTTTCCTTTGGGAAGGTACCATCTGTGCAGTCTGCAATTTTGTTGAAGAAAGATGTTGAATCTATTTAATATTTCTTGAAAAATAATTGATTTCTGTGCATTTTTACACTGCATCAAATTAAGGTTGATTACGTCGATTAAGCATCATGAGGTGGAGCATGAGGGGTGGTTCCCTATTTTTTATTTATTTATTTTTGTTGTTGCTGGGAGTTGGAGCCCTATTAGTTAGGTTGCTTAATATTTACGCTAAGTACTCTTTAAAATACCAGAATAGGGAGGATGGTGTAGGTCTAAGTTTATTAGATTGATCAGTATTGCTGAACTATGAAATATTTTTTTTGTATACAGGTATAACAGAATAGCTTTAGTGTAGTTGTTGTTTTAAACTTGAGTATGAACTTGCAGACTTGCAAAATGCAGCAAGATATTTTAAAAAACAGTTTTGTTGATTAAAAAACATTATATCGGATTCATATCGGTATCGGCAGATATCCAAATTTATGATATCGGTATCGGTATCGGACATAAAAAAGTGGTATCGTGCCATCTCTAGTCCATGCTAATGGATTTTCATCCGGTCTTACACTAAATGTGCTAGTTTAATCTGCAGGTATGGGATGAAGAGAGGTGTGAGATGGATTTACCTTGGGGACAAACAGAACCACCAGGGTGATGTAGACTGAGAAGACAATGGCTAAAGAGGCGAAGGCGAAAGAGGCATCCTGCTGGGAGGACAGAATCATGGTGACTGGAGCTGTGATCATACACAGTACCTGAAGAGAAGAATAAATAGAGTAGATAAGCTTAGCTTGTTTATTACAAAAAAATAACAAGAAAATTTTAGTCTTAGCATAAATTTAAAAAAAAAAGTGTAACAATTTCAACAGAGTTACCTATCACACTAGTAAAAAAGGACCAGGTGGAATTCAGTCCAACTGTTTTCTACAGAACATTAATACAAAACCTCTGGTTTCAATTTAATGGCGATTTTGAAGACCAGTGATGGGATTAACAGCGTTAAAAGTAACGGCATTACTAACGGCTAACACTAAATAGCCAGACTCTCACTCAGTCACCCTCACCGAAGCCTCTCTTTTCTCGTCTTCATTCCTGAAAACTCACCTTCTGTCAACCTTAACTCAGCTCTGGAATTAACCACCCTCTCCCTCAGTTGCCTTCACACCATTGACCGCCTTTGACAGTACAAACTGGCAGAAAAAATAGATCCAGCAGACGTAATTTGGACAGTGATCTCCAAACAGGGAGCAATAATTGGTGATCACGAGCAAATCCTGCAGTTTCAGGCAAAATCAGGTGCAAATCAATCAGTGACAGACAGTAGGAAATCCTATCCACATTTCCAAAGCTCTGTTCAGACATCACTCCCACCCCCAATCAGCCACCAGTACACTCAGCACAGTCCCCGTTTGCTGCTCCTGAGAAAGACGCTCCACTTTTCTCTGCCCTGGTCTCTGCAAACCATGCCTGTGTTCCATGATGCAGTGACCTCAACACTCAAACCTTTTTCCGGTGAGTTGGGCCGGTACAGGGCTTTCTCTTACAGTGCTCACTTGTGTTCGGCCAATCGCCTCTTTCTTTGACAATGCTGCTAAACTCTCCCACTTAGTAGGTCTGCTGAGGAGAAAGACGCTGGCATGGGCTGAAGCTTATTTTTCACTCACCCAGTCTCTGAGGGCAGCGTGGCCAATTATTAAATTTATGGCAGGGCAAAACGTAGTGTAGCAAAGTTTGTCACTGATTTGTACAACTGGAAGCCAGTTGGCCCGATCATTGGCTTCAGGGTTTATTTTTGCAAGCCTTAAATGTTAGCCCTTCCATTCATGCTAGAACCTCCCATACCTGCCATTGCACTCAATAACCAGGTTTTTGCTCTATAACTCATCAAACCGAATCAGTTAATCTGATCTTGTCTGGAAACCACTGGGAGACCCTCTCATTTTTCACCTTTCATTATCCTGACACACCTCTGATCCTCAGTTACCATAGTTAGAAAAACACAATTATCATATAGACTTCCACAGAAAATGGGTCCAAAATCCACATGTGTCCTTCTCTGGATTCCTCAGGGAAATATTTAGCAAATTTCTCTGTCAGTGGTGAAAGGTGCTGACAGACAGAGTCACTGATCTTCACCTGAGGGGATTTTTCCAAGATGTGAGACAAAAGTGGAAACATGTCCATCCTCTTTTCCTGGGCCCTCTTAGTCCACAAAGCAAGTTTACTCTTGAAAGCTTCAACTTTGTCTGCAACAAAAAAACATGTTGCTGTTTCTCCCTTGAAGTGAGATGTTCATGTGCAAGAGGAGATGTTTTTTTCTCTGTGAGAAAAGAAACTATCTCATTCCCCAGTTCCAACAAACATTTGAGGACCAGTCCTCTTGAAAGCCATCTCACCTCACTGCGGTAGAGCAGCTGGACATGATCTGCTTCCATGTCCTCACAAAGCTTGGCAAAACATCTGGAGTTCACAGCATTATTTTTAGTGAAATTGAGAGTTTTCACACTTACAATCCATCACCTCGTCACATACAGCACATGTGGCAGGGCATCACAAACTACAGGAAGATGGCACCTGCCTGTGATGGTGACGTCTCCCTACCTCTCCAACATCTATGCACGTTTTGACGCTCAGAATGACGTGTTCGTAAGGAAGACCCGGCTGCCACCCACACTGGACCCACTGCAGTTTGCCTGTCCCCCCAGCTGGTGAACAGATTACGCCAGTGCCACCACCCTACATCTTGCCCTCGTCCACCTGGACAATAAATTCAATTTCAGTTCAATTCAGTTCAATTTTATTCATACAGCGGCTAATGACAACAACAGTAGCTCTGCCTCAAGGCACTTTATATTGTAAGGTAGACCCTAGGAAAATACAATAAAGACCCATATGTACGAATGCTGTTCATAGACTTCAGTTCAGCATTCAACACAATCATTCCTCAGCACCTGATTGGAAAACTGAGCCTGCTGGGTCTGAACACCTCCCTCTGCAACCGGATCCTGGACTTTCTGATAGAGAGACCTCAGGCAGTCCAGATCGGTAACAGCATCACCAACATCACCACACTGAGCACTGGAGCCTCTCAGGGCTGTGTGCTCAGCCCACTGCTGTTCACTTTACTGACTCAGCAGCAATGCACAATTTGAACCACATCATCAAGTTCGCTGATGACACGACTGTGGTGAGTCTCATCAGCAAGATCGACGAGTCAACATACAGAGAGAAGGTGCAACAGCTAACAGACTGGTGTAGAGTCAACAACCTGTCTCTGAAGGTGGACAAAACAAAACAGATTGTTGACTTCAGGAGAGCACTGTCCAGTTAACTTCGATGGATCCTCTGTGGTGGTTGAAGAGCACCAAATTCCTTGGTGTTCACCTGGCAGAGAACCTCTCTTGGTCTCTCAACACCAGCTCCATAACTAAGAAGGCCCGACAGCATCTCTATGTCCTGCGAAAGCTGAGAAAAGCCCATCTCCCACCCATTCTCACCACCTTCTACAGAGAGACTATCGAGAGTGTCCTGCGTAGCGGCATCACTGTCTTGTATGGTAACTGCACTGTATCGGATTGCAATACCCTACAGCGGATAGTGGGAACAGCTGAGAAGATCATTGGAAACTCTCTTCCCTCCATCACAGACACCTATCACACCTGCTGCTTCTGCAAAGCCACCAGCATTGTGGAGGACCCAATGCACCCCTCGCACACGCTCTTTACCATGCTGCCTTCTGGCAAGAGGTACTGGAGCTCTCACAGCCAGACTGATGGCTTGGGGGAACAGTTTCTTCCCCAAGCCATCAGACTCGAGGGTGGCTCAGTGACTGGACTGACACACACACACACACACACACACACACACACACACACACACACACACACTTCATACATCAAGTGACTTTTTGCAACAATGCTCAGTCTTTTGCACAACCCACTGTTATTGTTGCAGTCTACCTTTACACTGTTGTGTCTGTGTGTCTTTTGGGTTTTTTTTGGCAATTTTTGTACACTTGGACTTTATGTAGTCCTGTGTTGATTGTCTGTATATTATTCTGTATATTCTGTACGTTATACCTTATATGTAGCACAATGGTCTTGGAAGAACGTTATCTCATTTCACTGAGTACTGTACCTCTGCACAAAGTTGGAGTGACTTGACTTCACTTTAAAGGGGCATCAACAATTTCACAGCTGAGGTCAACTGTATTCAGAGCAAGATCAGGTAGACCAAAACCACACCATCAGAAGACTAATATATTGAACTTACTCACTTTCCAACTTTATCACTGATAACGCATAATCATATTTTAATAGAGCATTTCATTCTATACACATTAATCATTTAATATACGTCAAACGAGTGGCCAATTGAGAATTAAAATTTAACTTAACAAACGTGTTTGCTTTAATGTGTGATGAAGCCACAGTAGCAGGATTTACCATACAAACCCATGCAAAAAGGACCTGGCAAGAGTTCATGCCACTACTTTTGAGCTGCACAGAAAGAGAAGCAGACCAATTGTCTGTAGAATTATATAATTATAATTATCTTCTGGTTTCATCTTTGTGGAAAAAGATTCTCATAGCAGCAGGACAAAACTCTGAAGTAATACCTGAAGACTAAAGAAACCCAAGGACTGTTGACCTGCCTACATAGTCATCTGATCTCAGTCATTGAATATGTACGGCCATTTGTAGACTGAGGAAGCTAAACATTCCTGACATGAAAAGAAGCTCTTTGTTATATTGTCAGATGGCATTTGGACTCGACTGTTATCAACAACCTAAGAAAGAGAACCACCTCTTCATACCAGCTACTGACAGCAAACAGGGAAGTTGGTTTTATATGCAAGACTCCCGTGTAGAGATGTGGAGAAACCTAAACCCTTCACAGCTTGTAACAGCAGTCTGGCGAGGAAGGAGCAGCTAGCAGGACCAGCGCACGTGTGGTGGTTAGCCAAATAACCCGAAGCCAGTCGGTTAAATCCAATAACAGACCTTTATTCGCTGTCAGCAACATTACATTATGAGCCAGGTCTCCACGGCTGTACTCGCCCGTCATACATGCGCTGAGATTGGTATCGCCGGTGCCAGCTTGTTACAACAGTACGGTGTTTCTTTTAGAATGGAACACGAGCAGCATGGAATGGCTGCCACGAACAATACACACCCACTAGGAGACTCTCACAGCTATTACAATAGTAGGGCAACCCCCCTAGTGGTGCTATAACCCAAAAGGGTTGTTACAAGCTATGGTCAGATAAAAAGAATTTTACCATTAGACAAAGACAACCTGATTAAATACAAAATGCAGTTTTTAAATAATGATGCATTTATTAACTGAAAAAAGCTCTCCATGTCTATAGTACATGGCCTTGTGTGAAAAGCAATTGCCCCCTGAACCTAATTAAGGTTGTGCCCTGCCTTGGAGCAAGAACTGCAATCACGCATCTGCGGTAACTGGAAATGAGTCTTTCACATCACAGTGGAATTTTGGCACATTCTTCGTTGGAGGATTGTTTTAATGCTTTAATGCATTGGAGGATTTTCAAGTGTGAATGGCCTGTTTAAGGTCGTGGATTTAAACTGAGAGTTCATGTAGACCACCCCAAAACCTTCATTTTGTTTTCTGAGCCATTCAGTTTTGGTTTACGTGCTGATGTAGTTTTGTTTTGTTTGAGATTAAGGGCACAAACTGATGCAGGGGCACAAATCATTTTCTTATTGTTGAATCATAAACACTCCTTTTG